CAAACATGAAGCTTATATTCTTCTGTGTTCTTAGAGTAGATTTGAATGTTGTCTAAATAATAAACAATAAAATCATCTAAAAACTCACAAAAACATCATTCATAAGATGTTGAAAAGTGGTCAGTGCATTCGTGAGTCCAAAAGACATGATATTATATTCAAAATATCCATACCTAGTTCGAAAAGTATTCTTCTATTCATCTCTTTCTTTGATACGAACTAAGTTCTATGCTCCTTGTAGATCTATTTTGGTATAGATCTTTACTTGATTGAGTTGGTCAAGAAGTCTTGAAATCAAAGGCAAAGGATGCCTATTTTTGATGGTGATCTTGTTGAATCCTTGATAATCCACACACATTTGCAGAGATCCATCTTTTTTCTTCACAAATAAGATAGGAGCCCCAGCTAGAGATTTAGAATGGCATATGAAGTTCTTTGCCAAATTTCCATCAATGTATTTTTTTAATGCAACCAACTCATTCTACGATAAGCTATAGATTGGTCAAAATAGTGGTTGAGCTCCTTCTTGCAGATCAATTGATCAATCATAAGGTCGATGCTCGGAGAGAATATTTACATTTTTTTTTTCAAAAACATCTTGGAATTCTTGATATTACTTAGGAATACCACTTGACATTGTTTCACCATTAGAAATAGATGTAGCATATATAGCAAAAGATGATCCTTCTTTTGCAGCATGCATGAAAGCTTTTGCACCTACCAGTAAAGGTTTGGACGTATTGGACTTATCTACTTCTACTTTGTTAATACGATCTTGGATTATACTATCAGGAAAGTTAAGGTTGTAAGAAATCCAATCTATTTGAGGGTTATATTTTTCTAGCTATGATAATCCTAAAATAATCAAATTAGAGGGAGATTCTATTACATATTAAATACTACTACGTTGTTATGATCTTTAATTGCTACATCTAAAGGAATAGTTTCATCGGTAATATTTTCAGAAGATAACAAATGACCATCTATGACTTCTATATGTACGGATTTAACTTTCTTCACTAAAGGTATTTTTTGATTTTTGGCAAAATCTTCATCTATAAAACATGCTGAGGCTCCTGAATCTAACATGGCAAATACTTTGTGATTATTAATTCCTAAATATACTTCTATTATAAAACAAGGTGAGGGTTGTGAGGAGAGGATAGGACCTTTACTAGGTATTGCACATGATTCCAACATCACGATCCTTATTATAACTAGAGAAACTAGTTTTTTGATACATTATCTTCTTTTATAATTATGCTCCTCATTTTGTAATGTCACTTCTTTGGACAATATTGAGCAGTGTACTTAGCTTCTCCACAATATAAATACAACTCCACTTGGTGACATCAAGTCTTTTCATGCTTCGTGAGAGGTTTAAAATGTATCATATCAATTTACATTGGTTTTTGCTTTGACGAATACGTTTCAAAAAACTTCGGAGCTGTCACCATTACTTGATTTGTTCTTCTTCAAGCAAATCTTTGTTCTTGACGCCTTTCAAATAAACGATTGTTGCATGCAATGGCTTGAATAATAAATTATTTTAAAGATTCTACTTTTGGTATTATTAATAACAAATCTTTGATGCTATCCTTCAATCCATATCAAAATTGTTTGATAAGTACTTTGTCGTTCTAATCTACGTCGCAAACAAGATTTTGGAATTCAGTAGTATATGTAGTGGTTGATTGTGATCCATGCCACAAGAATTGTTCTCGATCACTTTCTCCAAATGTGGCCGTAAACACTTCTAGGAATGAATTCAAATCATAAAAGAATCGTGAATCTTTTTCCATTAAAGGTACAAACCAAGACAGAGCACTTCTTGATAGTAGTGCGCCTATAAATTTGACTTGGGTAAATCCATCAGGATATTAGAAAAGGTGCAACCTTAGATAGAACTTGACTTGTTGCAAAAATCTTTGAAATTTTGATCTTGTTCCATCAAACTTCTCAAGCATAATAATTTTTGTCCTTGTCATACTTGTAGAAACAAAACTCTATGGATTTGATTGTGACGTTGATCTACTTGCTTCTTTCAACTGCATAACTTCTTGCTGCAGACTCTGAACTTCTTCCATAGGCATAGGCATAGTACTTCTATAATTCACGTTGGAAATACATGAGATTTCGACTCTTAAAGTGTTGACAAGCTCAGGAAGATCTGCCATAGTTACAAATCTATTCTCACTTCTGTTGAGAATAGCATCCATAATCTTTCCTTTCATAGACAACTCAAACAAATTCAAAAGTTAAATTAGAGGAAGATAATCCGCAATCTCTAAAAACAAATCCCACAAAGAGGTGGAATCTACTCTCTTTAAGGAAAAGATCAATGTTAGAAAATAAGATTTTTTTTGTTTAAAGGTGGGTCGTTCGCAACCTTCAAAATGTAACAATAGTAGTGCGATAATCCACTCACTTCTAAACAAGACAGAAATAATATGTTAGCACTCTTGTCAAACTATCAAGGATATGAATCTCAAAGAAAGAGAATCCTCAATACACTCTTCTATCATTGAAGAGAACTAGAAAGTCACTCAAAAGGTAATGTAATATTAACTAGAATGGCTATTGCCAAAAACAAGAAGACTAGAAAGTCTTGAAACAAGACTAAGATTAGAAAGGCATTGAAAAGAGTGAAGAAGGCTTCACTCTTGCCTCCATATATACTATCTAACTAAGAGCTATGTGGCGATGTCCTATAGGACCTCTAATATGTGTTGACTTTGCTAGCCACATGTCTTATCTTGCAAGGCAAGTTATCTATGTATGTGCCACATAGTTGGCTTGTTCCACAAGCTACTACACGGAGATAACTTGTTCTATAAGCTACTAATACATGGTTAGATTTTTGGCCAAGTTTCTAACCTACAAACACATCTAATGTCAAAACCACGTCTATGAAGCTTCTAAGAAGCTACTCTAGAAGACTTTATGAAATTATTCTATATTTTCCTACTTCTACTTAATCATATAAGTAACTATTGAAGTAAATGTATATGTCCGTGACATTATACTAGAATTGTAATTCATCATGCCAAATCTATTAAACAAATTTTAATATATATTTTTTTTCATGAAGAGTGATTCTTTTTTTGGAGCATTCAAACTTGACTCTAAGATAAAGACTTATTAAATTAGTCAATAGGATCTAACTTTGTATAAATATTAAGTAGCCAATTGTCTCTAAATTTTATTGATGGTTGTTTATACATGTCCATCTTTCTTTGTACATAGAGTTGACTAGCTTAAAAAGTCAAAATTAGGAGATATTGGTGAGTGTACAACAAGAGAGTTTGGTTGACTTCTAATAGTCTAGTTTGCCTTCTTCTTATAATGATATTATATTTTCTTCTATAGCACCTAATAGTGTAGAAAAAACATCTTCAAGATTTATATTATAAGTTTTATCTTCATGATGTGGATACTCCACTTTTGATTCATCAAAGATAATGTCCCTACTTATAATTATTCTTTTTTTTCTTTGGATCATAGATTTAATATCTCCTGTTATTGGTGTCGTATTCAACAAAGATGCACTTCCTTGTTTTATTCTTAAATTTCAAATATTACTCTTTTGGTATATGTAAATAAGTTATATATTCAAATATTCTTGGATGTTGTATGTTTTGTTGAAGAATCATGACTTATATCAATAGTTATTCCATGTTTATGAAAAAATTCTTAAAAGACTTTAGACAAAAAATCATCCTTGTTTGTTCTTAACATAATTAATTTCTTACATGTTTTATTTTCTATTTGATTTTTTCATATGCAAAACTTAGAGAAAAATTCTTCCTTAGTTTTAAAGAAGTAAATCCAAATTCTTTAAGAAAAATTATTAGTGAAGATTGCAAAGTATTTGATTCCACTTAACAAAGGTTTTGAAATCGGTCCAACAAGATCTCTATAAATCAACTGGAGTAACTTATTTGATTTAATAATACTTTCTTTTAGAAATTTCTTGTTCAAAATAAGATGAATTATCATTTATTATAATAATACTTGATGAAGATTTATTATTAACTAGTGGTGACTTCTTGAACCTATAGTCTTTGCTATATGATTTGGCTTTCCATAGACATAATAATATATCAATCTTATATTTCAATCAATTCAATGATCTCTTATATTACCTTAACTTTTCATAAAAAAGATGCTTTTCTTTGCAAGATGAATAGTTCCTTTTATTTCTTGTAATTCTTGTATTAAATTCATTTATTGAGGTTTGTATTGATAATGTTTTACTTTCAAAGTTCTCATTAGGATTGACTCTTAATTATAATCTATGAACCTTTGTAATTAACTTTGATAATTTTATTTCAAAATTAAAAAATTAATCCATAGATGTGAAATTATACATCAAGCTATTGAAAAAAGGAAGCAAATCATTTAGGATGGTTTGTATAAGAATTTTAGGAAAAACTATCTCACCAAGCATAGCTAATTGGTTTTTTATTTTTCAAACTAACTTCAAAAACTCTTCTATGGAGGTAAAAATTTGATACTTCAATGTTGATAGTTTATAGTTAAGATTCAATACCATAATCAGATCTCTACTTTTGTATGCCTCTATAAGTATCTTCCATGCATTTGGCGAGTCTACATACTTAGTAACCATATCTACCAAATAGTCCATAATTGCAAAAGTCAAAATTTTCATTCTTTTCATTTTCATCTCACATAATTGATTTTTTGACAATGTGCAAACATTGTATAAACATAAATATGTCATAGGAGTGAGTTTATCAAATATAAGCTTCCACAAGTTTTTTGCTCACAAAAATTCTTCATCTTTAAGCTCCTAATATAAAAAAAATTGTTCACCAACATGTTGGCCACACCAATCTACAAAGGATTACTAGAATTTGACATAATCTCTTTAGATTTCCTCTAACAAACAAAGTACTCACTACTTGTCTTGCTCTCAACAAACAAAGCAACTCTTATTGTATTTCTAAACCTTGCTTTGATACCATATAAGATTTCTATAAACACAACAAATAAGAGTGACTTTATTTACATGATAGAATTCAATATATACATTGTGAACTAGAATAGTTCAAACTATTTTCTAAACATTATTATGTTTATACTGAATTTAATCTTTTGTTTGAACTACACATACCTCTACTAGCTTGTGACTAATGCATACCCTACCTTAGAGGGAAAATGGCAGGTATCAATTTCATCTATATAAAACGTAGATATTACATGGTCTCATCTATGTATTTAGAAAGGAAACTCTAGGTCCACAGAGAAGTAACAACACACATTGTTAGAAAAAGTCCACTATAATGTGAGCAAGTAAATGTAAATGAGAGAACTATATCAGTTCTCCTATAATTACCTGTTACTGGAACACTTGACTCATGAGTAGATTCTCCAACAGAAAGTATCTCTTACCAAAACTAACCGGAGAAGCACGTCTCTATATGTTCTTCTGGACCTCCTTGCGCCAGGAACCACCAAGTCATCCTCGTCATCTACAGACGAGTCACCTTCTGATGATCCCTCGTTGGATAACGGGTTTGTAGATGATGAGGATGCAAATGGTGAGGATGTAGATGATGTTGATGACGAGTCACTTTCTGATAATTCCTCGTTGTCGACCAAGTCATGACAGAGATGACTCATTGAAGCTACAATCTGCAATAACATTTAGACCCGAAACTCAGAGGTGCACCACTGACTGCTCTAATGCGGAAGAGCTCAATAATCTCGATACACATTTCAATCGTAAGAAAATGCACCATAGTTCTGGGAAGAAGTAGATGCCCACGATTCCCGCAATCAAGAAAAAAGCATAGACACTTACATTTCTAAAATCTGGATATGAAGTACTACAGATCTCCATGAGACGTCTCTTAAGGTGGGCAATCAAGGCTTGCCCGGACGACTGTCGGTTGAACCTCTGTAAAAGATACGAGCAGAGGAAATACTCCAGTATTACAATTGAGGGGAATCTGTAGCAGTTAGGTCGGCGCCAGAGGATGAATTTCTCACCTCAGCCCCAGGGTATTCCGCATCGCAGTCAAAGACCTAACGTAAGCCTTCTCCGACATGCTGCTGATGTAGACAGCATTCTGCCTGTGGAGTGAAATCTGAAGCCTGGAAGAAAGAACACCCAAGTCAGAAACGATCTTCTGAGAGGGCGTACAATTTTCACCCCAGAAGACTTTAAGTTTCTGATCAAAGAAGTACGGTGTTTGAACAACAAAAGCTGAGCATAACGGGAAAAAGATGAGGTACGTACTCTCCGCATGCAAGTTCGAAGCAGAGTACAGACTTGCATATCTCACCCTGCGAATAATGATTCACAACGGATAATAGACAACTTACCCAACGTCCGGTGAACAATGAGTATCACAGCTAAATAAATTTAAGTGTGTGTACAACCTCATCAAGAAATGGTGCTTTCAGGCCAAAAACAAATTATTCTGGGATAGGGGCGTCCCGTAAGACCAGGTCTGCTGAAAATTCCAACTGCAGCTTACGACTCCCAGACAACGCAAGTGTATGCTGAAGCTCCCACACACAAACATGGTAGAAACTCTACAAATGCAACACATCACGTGTCGCACCAACTGAACATAAGAATCCCAGAAGGGCGCAGACAAGGATGAAAGAGCCGCACCATACCGAACGACGGCGCATCGAAGTGTAAATTGCATAATCGAAGCAGCTCCTGAGCCCTCCTGACGACTTCAAGCTGATCGAACAGACCAAATTTCAATTGCAGTGATTTCATACCCGTTTCAAATGCAGATTGTGAAAGCGATCAAACTCTAGCAACCCAATCCCAAACTCCTCGCGGTGAAAACGTCACACATTGAGACATGGATCCCTCGAGGCGCAAGTAAAAAGGCCATTGAACTGCCCAAGAGTTCGCAGACTAGACCGAGGCGGGGAAATTCGAATTGCATGAGAATGAAAGAGCGCGAGAAGGTCGATGAGATGGCGGGGGAGGGAAACCATGCTTCGACAGGGCGAGAGCGGGAAAGAGAATGTCTGTAGATGGCGACCACTTCACGAATCAACGACGACTAGTGAATGAAACTGGGGAGAGGCGGGGGAGACGAAGGGAAATGGCGGCGAGGAGGAGGATGAATGCGACCGGACCCGCCATTTCCCCCAGTTTTCAAATTCTCACCGGATGCTCCGGTCATCACTCCCGCTCAAAACTGTCCCCCTTTGAACTAAGCTCTGTGATGTTGATGTTATTATGTTATCCAAAAAAGTATCCAAATACTTTAAAAGTGGAAAATGTAATTGAAGTAAATAAATGTAGTGCCTTGAATGAGTTGCAATTGTTACATTCTACATGTATAAAAAAATAAACTCATGTGGTAATCAACACATTATTCAATGTTCTTAAAAAAAAAACTGAGCATTACAAAACTTTACTGTTTGATGTATGAGCATCAGAGATTAAGAATTGATATAGGAAATGATCATATTCTTTAAGGAGAAAAAACTCCTTAGAAGGTTACACTAAATAGAATATATGATTGAAAATGACGTTTCTAATAGGTTAGGTGAAAGCAAAGGATTAAGTATTTCAAAAGTATTCAACTTGTGGTTTGTTTATATAAACATTGTAAAAACATAACACATAATTAAAACTAACATCTTGGAATCATATATCCAATTTAAATGTCTCCAAATGATATATGCTTCATTATTTTTATCAAAAGTGAACCAAAAGTTAAGTTCATGTGGCCTTAACAAAAACCTAGTTAATGTTGATCATATCAAAAGATTGGCAAAGCTACTGCTGGGCAAATCTTTTCATGCAACAATTGTTGTTGTTGGCACATTTGGTTATCTGGCACCAAACACATTTATATTGACATGTACTTATATCCAAAATTTGCATTTTGCATTGTGGTATGTAGTTGAGGGTTACAAATGCTGTTTGGAATAGGATTAAAAAAACATCAATCTTGTCATACAGTTGCTAATTACATGACAACTTTTGATTTCATGATCCACTAAATGCAAATTAATGTGTTGTTGTAAGAACAATGTTGAAACTTGCTCATGAGTATCACCTTTGGAAGTAGTGACTGAAGGGGATATAGAAAAATGAGGGTATGTTTATCATATTATGTTTCCTTGTTCACCTAATGCATCATCATTTGTCATGTTCAGCAAGAATATGCTTGCTTTTTCTTTGTTTGGTGTAGCACAACCAGTAAGGTAGGAGGAGATGGTGGGCCATCTCTTAGTGCAATGCAAAGCAAGAGAGAGAGAGAGAGAGAGAGAGAGAGGAAAATCCAGTATGTCATTTCTTTGCAAAGGGTTATGTTGTGTGGGAAATTAGAGCTAAGGGCTTAATATGGTGGAAGATTGGGATGGAGTGTTGAATTTGCAGTTTGTTGGGACATAAGTTTACATCTAGGATGATGTTTGAGGTCAGCAAATTATTTGGATTCCCAATTAATACTTTGAGAAAGAAAAAATTTGTGTTCAAGAAGCAGGCAAGATGTGAGCTAGAGTGATTCACGTATAATGCCTTCATCTGCTACATTGGTTACTCTAACCAAATTGAAATTGTGTTGGAGACATTTGGGAGAATAAAGAAGAATGGTTTGGAGCCCAATGAATATGTTGATGGACTTTTGGTTCACTTTTAGAATTATTAATTATTTATATTGTAAAACAGATATTACTAATGACAAAACTAATATTTTTTTATAAAAAAAATAAAATACTAATTCATCAACTTCACATTTACATTCTAACATACTTTGACTATATTTAAATATTTAAATAAATAAAATAGATAAATAATTTATAAATATATATATATATATATAAAATAACCAGTAAATTAAAAATTAATTTTGAAATTATATGAAAAAACTAAAATATATATATATATATATAAAAATTAAAATACCATAGATTAAAGTAAATCAATATAATATATCACATTTTGTATTACCAATTATTAAAACCATTAGGCATATTTAACACATTAGGCATATATATACATATATATATATATATATATATAATTACTATTAGTCATGAATAAATTAAGTAGTTTTTTTGTGAAATATATATTTATTTTATTACTAATAAATTTATTTGATAATTGAGTTATTTGATAAGCTAGATGTAGTTTATATACATTATGCTAATTCATTTATAAACATATGTCTTAAAACACATGTATTATGGTGTTTAACTTTATAGATCCCTTGTTGTATTACAAATATATAAAAATTTCAAACAACATCCATATCTTTCTATATTGTTAGAATTCATTCAAATTCTATTTTTATTTTTATTTTATTAAATTAATAATATTTTTAAAATATATATATATATATATATATATATATATATATATGCATTTATTAACAAAAAAATACCATATGTATGGGGAGAGAGTTAAATTAATTTAAATATTCTCTTAAAAAATTAAATATGTTTTAACTGTTATGGATATGGTTTTTGCATAATTTAAAGTTAATGGACTGTTTGTGGTCATACAAGTGTGGTATTATAAGTAGTGATAGTGCCAAGTAAAATCATCTCATGAAATGTGATATCATTTTTATAATACTATATATAAACAGGTATGTAAAATTTGCTTAAATTAAATTTATACTGATTTTCAGAAAATCAATTATACATAGTGTCGATTAAATTTAATATAAACACTAAAAAACACTAAAATTTTGCATGTACAATGCATATGAGATTTAAATTACATAATATTATATCAAATCAAACTCAAAGTATTAAATATTAAAAAATATTATGTTATAAGTGTATTAGTAAGTAAATTTTATTTTCCTATTGAATTATAACCTTCAATAGTTACAACTAATTATATTTAAATTACATCTTAATTTTTACATATGATTTTTCAAGAGTATGACTAAATTTCAAATAGTTATATAATAAAAATATAAAAACTAAAAACTATGTCATGATTATGCTATTACTAATTTTTTTTTTTGCACATGATTCTTATTTGGTTTTCATCCACTTCAATATGTTCCATAATATGACTTGATTAATTTTTTTAGTATTTTATATAATATTTATTTAATTAAAATTTTATTATTTAATATAAAAAATAAAATATTGATTATTATTATGGAATTTCACTTTATTTCTATTTTATACTATTTCACATCATGAACTTTTAAAATTAAGTTTGATACTATAATATATAATAGAATTAAAAAACAATAAGAACAACTTATAAAAATATAATATTAATATGAAAAACCTTAATTTATATTTTTGTAGACCTAGAAAACTGAAAATTATACTAAGCTACACATGATAATAATACATTATTATATATCACATATTATATGTTACTTATAAAATATATTTTTATAATTATTAATGGTTAAACAAGATTATTGACATGAAGAGAAAACATGGCATAGATTTTATTGCATGTAAATCTATAGAAATATAATATATTTAATTTTCTATTTAAAAATATTTTTTACCAAATGCACAACATAGAAGTTATAAATAAAAAAAATTACTATAATTATTATGGACATACATATTCATTTAAATAAGAAGTATTAGATAAAAGATAAATATAGATTTATTTGATATTATCTTATGGCATAGCTTGTTAAAAGATTCATAGACACTTATTTGATTTTAAATGTATTTATAGTTGATTAATAGGTTAAAAACTTAGCTAACAAATTAGTCATGTGTTGCATGTATTAGTAGCTTGTGAAACAAGCTAATTATATAGTACATATATAAAAAACTTGTCTTGTAAGTTAGACACATATTAGAAGTCCCATAGAACATTCATATGTAGTTCTTAATTAGATAGTATATATAGAAGTAAGAGTGAAGTTTTCTTCACTCTTGCCAACATCTTTCTAATCTTCTTGTCTTTGGTAAAAGCTATTCTAATTTAATATTTTACCACCTTTGAGTGATTTCCTAGTCTTTTCAAGTGAGACAAGAATATATTGATCTTTCAGATCTTTATGATTCATGTCTTTGATAATTTGATAAGAGTACTAATTCATTGTTCTTATTTTGTTTTTAGAACTGATTTGAATACTTCACTTTTATTATTGTATTTTGAAAGTTGACGACTATCCATCTTTAAATTATTATTTAATTATTTAATATTTATATATTTTTTTAAAGAAAGTAGATTATTTCACTTAATAGAAATTTTCATTTGATATTAGAGATTTTTAATTACCATCTTCTAATTTGACTTCTATATTTGTTTGAATTTTCTATGAAAAGAAAAATTATAGATACAACTTTTAACAGAAGTTAGAATAGATTTGCAACCTTTGCAAATCTTCATGACCTTATCAACAATCTTAAGGTAGAAATTTCACATATATTTAATGTCAATCATAGAGATAGTATTCCTACGCCTACACAAGAAGTTAATAATAAAGTCCAAAGTCTATTCCAAGAAGTTGTACAGCTGAAAGAAGTAAGTAGATCAAATTAAAAACTAAATCCAATGATTCTTATTATTATAAGTATGATAGAAGTAAGAATAAATAAACTAGAGAAATTTGATGGAACTAGATCAAAATTTCAAAGGTTTTTATAACAAGTGAAGCTCTATTTGAGATTGCATCCTTTCAAATATCCTAATAGATTTATTCAAATCAAATCCATAAGTATTCTTCTATTTGAAAGTACTATCTCTTAGTTTCTACCTTTGATAAAAAATGATTTATAATTATTTCATGATTTAAATTTATTCTTAAAAGTTTTTATGTCCATATTTAAAAAACTAATCTAAAAAGGTTATTAGAGATCAAACTTTTATTTTTATAATAAAGATCATATTCAGCCACTATATATGTTACTGAATTCCAAAACCTTGTTTGCAATGTGGATTAAAATGATAAAGTCTTTATCAACTATCTTGATATGGATTAAAATTTATTTTTATCATATCTTATTAAAATTTATACATATAGAATTATATGGTAAGATAAAAAATTGAATATTTTATAGTACTCAAGTTGACTTCATAGAATACATCATTTCAAATGATGGCCTTATGATGGATCCTA